CGGGAAAGTGAGAGCAAACAGCTTCTCACTGCTTAGATTATAATAATGCAACATTATGTGTGTGTGTGTGTGTGTGTGTGCGTGCGTGTGCGTGTGCGTGCGTGTGCGTGCGCATACAAGCATGCGTGTGTGTGTGTGTTTGTGTCTGTGTGTGTCTGTCGGCATGTTTCTGTTTGTCTGTGTGTCTTGTGGGCATGTTTTTGTGTGTCTCTGTGTATGCGGGTCAATTTGACCCGAAGACCATACGAAGGATGTAAATGTGTGGGGTATAGTAGCATGTGTGCTCAAATTTTTTTTTTTGTTTATACATGTTCATCACAGAAAATAAGGTAAGGCCATTGAGTTTCAGGTAAAAAAAATGTATACTCGTACTATTTTTCTTATTGTAAAAATTTGAAACGGGTCAATTTGACCCGAAGACCATACAAGGGTTAAAGTGATGGACCTTGGGCACAAGGCTGCATGTTAACCATTCTCCTCACACAACTCATCTGGTACGCAGGTGATCTTTTTCCTTGTTGCCCAAAGCTGCTGATCTTATCCATGTTCACTGTGATAGAAGTCATACTTCTTGCTCCTGCTGCTGTTTTCCTGTGGCTATTCACTGACACATGCTCAACCATGTTCACCATCTGTCTCATCAACTTTTGTCCGTCTTTTGTTTAAAATCAAGGAAGATAAAAAAAAAGAGGGGGCCTGAGATTTAACCAGAGAGGGCAGGACGTTCAGATTCAAAAATAGTCAGCAAACATGCTAGGCTCTATATTTAGAATCTGTGTGGGTTTATCTTCATGAGAAAAAAAAAAGTTATTTATTTAATTCTTTTTTTTTGTCCCCAAATCCCTTTCCTGATGAAAGTCACATGATCTGCTAATGTCAGTGGGGCTTAATCGCAGCAGCAAGAGGACATGTGTGCATGTACACATGCTCTGTTGGCGACTGCAGGGAGGACGGGTTCATCTATTGGGGAGGGAGATGCAGGGTGGTGGTGATTTTGTTAGCAGTGGTGGAATGATCTGGATAATGTACTTATCCACAGTGCCTCTGGGGGGATGGCAACCCACTGACAACTGATTAGATTCCATAAAGATAAAAAGATCATTTAGAGTCACATCCTGTGGTGCCATTTCAGAGTCATAATATTTGTTCATTTGATAGAAGCATTTTGAATAGAAAAGATATGTTTCGAAAGAGAAAGTACGTTTTTTTAAGATGAAATTTGAAACATCAAATATCTGAAATACATACCTTTTTCTTTGGTTTTAACTTTTCCCTTCGAGCAATGAGGCACATTTGAATTCAGGATGGACATAATCTGTCATGTAAATTATTGTGGATCGACTACTGGAAGTCTCTTGTTAAAACTGTTACCGTACTGTAACGGTACTTAGCTTAATTGATTCAGACCTTAGGCTTTGGGTTTTCTTGAGAACTGAAAACCACCCACCAAAGACTTTCATTTCTCAGTTTCAGAGGAAAATCCAAACATGGAATGAAGGACAAACTCAGTTTTTAACACCATGATGATTATCTTGCAAAATTCCCCCTTATATAGACTTTTCACCACAATCTTAGTCAATGTCAGAAATATAAATGGTTGCTGAATGCATAGGATCTAGAGAAATAGAGGATATAGTACAAAATTAGTTTCAGATAAAAAAATTCATATTCTGGCTGTGAGCTGAGCTTTCTGAAATCCCTGTAATCTATGCACAAAGAACTGACAGATGTATTATTTTCTATGATGTTTTAATATAACTTGTTTTGCTTAATGGAATATAGATTAATTAACATATACGTTTAGCATCACTAAGCTTTGAAGAGTAGGCCTTGTAAACTATCAAATACTAGTTTCCTCTTTTGTGTCAGCAAAGATGTTTATCCCTTCCAGCAAAATGTAAAAAAAAAAAAGTTAACAGAGTAGCAACAAAAAGCTATAAAGATGAGAAGTTAGGAAATTTAAAGGCTGCATGAGTACATTGTAATTAACTAGATTAAGTGAAAACAGGCCTGGCGCATGACTGGGTTTCCTAAGAGCACTCCAGAGATCCCCGGTCCCTCAGAGGTATAGATGGGCAGAGGTGCAGGCATCTGAAAATGAATGCCTCTGTCACGATTCTGTTCGATGGATTGCCTCACCTCCCGGTACTCCACTCAGCCCTCCTCTACTCCACCCTGCCTTCAAGTGACGTCCGCTTCATCAGCCAACCTAGATTACATAAACTTCTCCATTTCATTCACTCTTTGCTGTTCTCCTGCAGAACCTCTCAGCATTCTCCATATGTGCCTGACCATTACTGTTTCAGTTAACAACAATGGTGCTCCTCACCGAACATGACAAATACCAAAATGACAAATGAAAATGACAAAGACCAAAATGACAAAGACCAAAAATACACCATCTTCAGTAACTAGACTCAAGACCTCTTTGTTCACTGCAGACTTAAATGAAAATTAACTATTGGTTCTGATGTTCTACATGTAACACTGCTCTAAACACAGGCCTGAATCTGTCTGCTTACTCACTGAACTGGTATTCAACATTATTGTCAGTGAACACTGTTGAATGACAACCCTGAATGCAGGTAGAAGAAAAAGGCCTATGTGAATATGGATCTTTTCAGAGCCAGAGCTCATTTGAAATGGACAAGGTGACAAAGAGGAAAACGATTCTGCCTCCTTCTCCATACTAATGAGGGTGAGGGGTTGATGCCATCAAGTTCATGATGAGCTGATGTTTTCCATGACAGAGTAATGTCTCTCACTCCCAGTATCTGATATGTTTTCATTTTCTTTTGGAAAACAAAATATCAGTGCACTTTGACTTATTGTCATTTTTCCTAATTCACAACTTTTTTTGGAATAACAGTTGCTCTCATTCATTCACTGAGGACTTAAGTATATCTGGGAAAATAGAGATGCATAAGGACAGAGTCCTCGTGTACCCAGCACAGCCACAGACAAGAACAGCCTGTAACTTTTGTCATGCATACTTTGATCAAAGCAGGAATACAGGCTGGAAGGCGTTTGTGGACCTCACTAATTGTCTGTGACATCCAAGAATACAGCAGTTTTCAAACTCCTTCGAATCTTGCTTTCTGTAGAGGCTTTATTTACAAAGTTTTACAAAGTTCTTGATTTCTCTTAAATTTAAGATAGATTTTGCTCACAGTTGTCACAGTGCTGGCTCTATGGGGCTCCATCGTCAGAGCCGCTTATGAAAAACTGTGTGCTAAGAGCACTCTGACGCTTTAATTCTGCCCTCTTCTTCACACCCATGCTCCCCCGCCCCTCCCTTGTATCCACTGACATTGAAATACACTCACTATGACTTGATTCTAATCATGTGGTCTTCACACACTTAAACAAATCCTTGGGCAGTGTTGCAGACGCCAGACAATCGAAAGCACTGAGAACAGGACGTACTGATGTTAGGGAGGGCTCTAATAAAAACGAGTCAAACAATTACTCACAGTCACTCTATCCACTCAAATCCAGTGAATAAATGGACAAGGCAGAAACAGCACTAAGCTGGTAATTTGTTTATGGTGATGTACTGTTATCATTACATCTGCAGCAGCTGCCAATCTCATTTCTTCTCCAACCGTCCAGGATTTAGCTGGCTCAAAATCTCCCTCCCAAACTGTCACAGTGGGAAAAAAACTCAATTACCGGAACAAATCCACTCTTCAGACCCAGGACACCAACTTTGCTTTCGGGCCACATTCCCTCATACACTAACATGCAAACACACTCTTTGTTTATCCTGCTGAGTTATGTCAGAGAGATGGATGGTTTCTGTAAAATTCAGACATGAGGCTATTCTGTTCAGATCCCTTAAAGTTAGATCTCATTTTGTGCTGTATAACACCTTGTGTCCAAATATTTGTTAACCTCAGAGAGAAACATGAGAGACGACTGGTGAAACTGAACCATGGCGTGGAAGCAGACCTCTGTTTGTCGCAAGCTGAGGTGCATTCCCACATTTTTCACCAGCACATTTGCTCGTTTTTCTGATGCAAGGCAGTTTTTTCATGTGTGCCACAGCAACAAGGTGGTGCCGAGTTTTAGAACCTGTGAGACTTGAGAGAGCTGAGTTCACGTGCAGGATATTTCCTCACCTGTTTTTTGTGTTTACTGATGCTTAACTTACACCTGGTTAGGGTTTCGGCATCGCAATGTTTTAATTCAACTCAGTGACACCTTGTTGTCAAATAGGGAGGACTAATCATACGTACACTAAGTTTCATCATCAAAAATGAACTGTCAGATTTGAGTGGCAGTTGGTAAGTTGGCATCACATTGGCAGGAAATGTGACCACTCTGTATTTCATGCTTAGATTAAAGGGAGGACTGAATTAAATGAAACAATCCCAGAAGCACAGTGAAGACAGAAAAGTGAAAGGGTTTTTGTGGAAAGGCTCGGGAGGACTGGATTTGAACTGTCTCCTTAAATGTTGAGGGGGGTTCACCCTCCTTTTCCAATTATTACTAAATGTTTGCCCCCTGCCTGATCGGCAGCTGTACCATTACATTATCATTATTCATTCAAAAATGCTGAGAAAGAAGTAGCAACGTTGCCAGTAATTCAGTTAGAGCTGTATCACACTGAATTGAGGAAGGCCAGTCTAATTATTGTGCAGCCTTTGTTGTGATATTGCTTCATTTTTTTCTCAAAAACTTTGCGGATGTTAGGATCTTTTCTGCATTGCAAAAAATGTATGACAAAGGGTGTGAATGGGCTGGGAACAAAAAAACGCAAAAGGCCTTCTTTAGAGATTTTTTTCCGTTGAGCTGCAGCAGAAACATTACAGACTGCAGATGAAGAATTTAGCCAATTATTACATTTATAGAATGATGTGTTTCAGTAAAGAAAGTACATCAATACTGACATGCCAGTTTCTTACATTACAAAAATTATTTTATGAATTTTAGCTTGTATTTCTGTCAGCACCCCCCCCCCCATGTCCTACATACACAGACATTAAAGAAATAGTCTCATACATATATTTCACACATTTTTCCTCCATGTGAAAGCTTGTATTTCTACATTACCTAACAGTGAAATGTTTTTTTTTTGTGGCTTTAAAGAACAATTTTCACATTGAAATCAATAGTAACCAAGACACCGAATGCACTCCACAATTCACTGAAACTTCACTTAAAAACTGTCACAGCAACTAAATGAAAGAAATTATTCAGATGCCAACAGAGATTTTTATTATTTTCTTCACAATGCTGATTGTAGAAAAAAAAACAACTTACAGGGTACCACACAAACGTTGTTGACATTATTCTGTTGCAAATTGTTGCATTTGTCTGTGTTTTGAAGAATTCTTCTGGCGCATTTATGATTAATTTAAAAACAAGTTGGATAGTTGCTTTCATAATTGATCTAACATTTCAGAATATCAGGCTGTACAGTGTTAACAGCAGCAGTGCAATGAAAATCCGACAGAAAACAGGTTGCCCCTCAACCCCCTCCAAAAAAAAAGCAAGTTGGCAACACAAGATATTATTCCCATTGCAAGATGTGTATGGGGATAAGGGGCTCACAATGTCTATTAGGCCCCCCCGGTGTACCATTACTGACACACTGGCAAAAGCATCAACTCACAGCATGAAGGAGAGAAAAGAAAGCTCACAGTGTCCTACATTGTTAGTTCGCATAATCCGCATGGGCAGATTTTTTCATTTCCACCTGGACGTCAGCCAATCCAGTGGATTTCTCCTCTGCTGACAACATTTCATTGTCGGGATGAGAGGATATATACTCCAATCTGTATTATGGGCCGGTCGAACAGATGATACGGTACAACCAACAGGACAAATGTCTGCATCTTTTTTTAGAACTAATATGATCAAAAAATGTGATGCTGGGGCAACACAAATACAAAAAAAACAACAAAACAAAAAACGAGATCAGTCAAAGGTTAAAAGACAGTTATCTCACCATATTTGTGAAGAATTGTGCATGACCTTCGATTCCACTCTGATTTCATTGCTAGCACAGTGAGATGATAGTTTAATACAATAAAACATGCTCTGACTGCTCAAACTTCTTTTTATAGACTCTACCATGAGTGTTGCAAGTCACATAGCTAGGACTTATTTACTCTTTTATTTGGTGCAAAGGACATTCACTGTTATGTCAGAAAGGTGCAAAATTAAGCTGGTAATGCACATGAAGGAGACTTTGAACACACCTTGCTTCATCTTATGTCACTCATTGTCTGTGCTGTTTGGGAGCAATGCTACAAAAGCTGACTAAAGATTTGGACTGTCCACAAGCAAAAAGCACATATGGTTCTCACAAAAGGCCATTCACCATTTAAACAGAGCATTGTTTTGTTTTCCTTGATGATGTCCTGTTAAAAGATAAAATCAAGAGCAGAAAAAGAAAAAGAAAACACTTCCTACAGGAAATAAATATCTTGATTTTACATTAAAACATTTTTAATAAAACGTTCAAGAGAGGAACAATCACAACATGTTTACAAATGTTTATGTTGTAAAGGTTTGTTTAATTTCTTATGTTCACTTTTGCAACATTCAATGCTGTCATGTAGCCTACTGCATCAAGCTTTTTTAATGAAGATAGAAGTTTACTCAGGATGTCCACAAGAAGGAAAAATGAAATCTTGATCTGCACCGAAGACTTCTACCAAAGCTCACCTCTTTGTTTACTTATTTTACATTTCTTTTCGTATTGGAACAAATCATAAATGAACATGAAAACATATGTCACTCACAACATATACAGCAAACTTTAGCCAAGCTGCTAAAAAGCAGTTTCTTTTTTAACGCGGTGCCGAAATTCACCAGCTTAATACTTTTTGGAAAATATATCATATGCACAGATCAAAACCTTCACTTTTGCCCTTTGTGAGGCAGTTTAAGACAAAACTCACTTAGATGCCAACATCCGTAATGTCCACAGTGTGACGCTTTTATCAGGCTGCCTCTGCAGTTCAATATTTCATCAGCCATGACAAACTTAGCTTAGAGAAACACCAGAAATCCGAGCTGCTCGCTGCTTCGCTCATTCATAAACATGGATAATTACTACCCACATGAGGAATTAAGGATTGTCCTTGAGGGTCAGACCCAGTCCCTGACCTCACCGAGCACTCAGCTGGCACTCTCAGCTACTCCCAGCTCTGCTGATTGACCAGTCTGCAGCAACTGTCCGACATCGCTATTAACCTGAGCGCAGCCAGCCCGTCCACAAAGCTGTTTGGGACATGGCATCTGCTCAAGGGGCAGTGAGGTATTAAGCATAGATTTACAAGAATGAATATGTCCTCCCTCCCTCATAATCTCTGGTCTTTTTACACGCAAGACAAGCCTTACAAACCGGAACATACACACACAGTCTTACGTAATGCTGTCAGCACGCAGCACTGGCTGGTTTTGGCGCACCACACTCACAGAAAGCATGCGCCGCCTCTTGTGAGCTCCGTTCAGCTCATGCATTACATTTAGCCGGTCTGCCATGTTTGGATGCCTAAAAAAATGATCGACAGCAAAAGCCGCAGTTGCAACTTTCAAAAATGGGCGTGATGCGCCACATTCAGCGGCCCTTCCTCTCGCATCTTCTGCATCTCATTGCCCTTCACAGAGAAAAAAACTCCCAGGATGTAGTTTTTCTTCAACACTTCAAAGCCTGTGTGAGCTCACATTAACAAGGAATATAGTGCAGCACTGTCGTTATGAGGAATGCGAACGAGAAGAGCTTTTTTTTTTTCAAGAAGCAGTCAAATGACAGCCGAGCTACAGAAGGAAAAAAGCACAAAGTGACAGCAGATCACATCGTTGCAGCAGACTGAAGCAACAACATACAGTATCTTTCTCAGAGGAAATCTCTCACGGAATGTCTTCAAAGTTCGAACTGAATGGACACACAAGCTCGTAAATCCAATAAATACCAAGTATTTGAGACCAAGCAGTCACACCATTAAATAGGAGGAATGGCATACTGCTACCCTTGCATTTGGGATTCAAAAGAAGCACACAAACAGTCCCTACAAAAAGCTTCTAAATCCCCGCAGCCAGGCTTCTCTCTGCATATTTCATCCTTTAGGAATCAAAAGCACGGTCCTCACAGATTTCCAGAGCTGCTTTACTTGCACCACCAAACACTTCCACGTTCGCATCAATCCAAGGAACTACATTTCCAGGCATGTAAGCTGAGCAGTTGGCAAGACCCATGATGTCCACAGGCCGGAGTACTCTGTCCCACATGTTGAACTGGCTCAGCTCGCCGACAAAGGCTTGTGTTGCATCGAAACGGCCTCCAACAACGTCCTTAAATGAAAAACAGAGCAGATTTTATTTTCGAGATTTGAAATGAATGAAATAAAAGAATAATATATATCAAGCTATAATTAAAATTCTCTTTGAATTTCATCAAACTGCCAAGGAGGACTGAACATTTTTTTTTTCTTTCAGTAAGCTTGTGCAGCCTCAAATATTGTGCAATTTGCAGCAATCCTGCCTTTGGTTTATGACTGAAACATAAAGCAATATCCTCCCCCAGGCTCCAAACCAGGGCTGCACGAGTAACAGCCTTTCAGCAATTCATTTACATGTCACTGTACCCCTTTTTTTACATACAATGTGTCATGGAGTGTATCGGCGGGGTAACTTTGCCAAAAGAGCTTCCATGTGTAAAAAATGTGAAGTTCGGAAGTGGATGAATGAGGTCATGTTGAGAGAGCCACAGTAGCGTGAGAAGAGCTTCACTGTCTCCTCTCACCTACTCCCTGCTCTGTGCCTCTGGCACTCCAATTGAGGGCGAATACACACATGGGTCCTATTGACATGAGAAAAACACACACACACACACACACACACACATACGCAACATCATGCATGTACACGCGCTCGTTCCTTGCTAGCTAAGCTTTTAGTCTCACCTGCTCCTGGCCCAGGATGATGACTCCTCCAGGTTTAATTGGGTGCCATGGGGCCAGGTTGTCTCCGGTGCCCAGGCGCTCGCCGTCCTGGTAAGCCTCCCAGAAACCGTCCCTGGTGGTCCAGGTGATGCAGATGTGGTGCCATCGCCCATCACTCACTGACAGGGGGAGCTGCGCCACCTGATATTCGTGAAAGGGAGGGGGAAGGAAATTAGTTGAGGTACGAGTTTAGAAACAAGGATCTCGATTAGAAAGTTGTGGCTTCAAAAATCCCCCCCCTGCATAGGATTTCAATTTCAGATTACCCTGGTGGCATCAGGGGGTGAAAAGTCCTTTAAAGCAGTGGAATCGCCGACAGTGAATCGGCGTTTTCTCGTTTTTCTCTTTTCGCTTTGTTCGGAGATCAAAGAAAAACAACCGATAATTTCACCAGTGACATCATGGTCCTCGGAGGATTCAGCACAACACATGAGATTACGGGTGTGCACGGCAGCTCATTAGCCTTTATATTATGAGCCTGAAGGATTACTTTACACTCATGTCTTGTTGCAGATGCAGCCTCAGATGCAAACAGACCTGAGAGGATGGAAGTCTCTTAAAACTAAATTCAAGTCACTCACAATTATAGAGGCAACTGACCTCATTAAAGACAGCAGGTGGTGTGCCTTCAGGAACACTAGAGGTGTTGTTATAAAGACTCTTAGATTGGTTTGAGCCACACCAAAGCTTTACTCTTAAAATGAAAAGCAAATTATTTTGCGAACACTGTGGAACACCTGGTGTATGACAATGAGGTATGTACACAGAGTTTGACATTAAAATTACAATCTACAAGGCCTACCATGACTCACTCAAACTGAGTTACATGACGATAAATGATCTAATTCTAAGAACATAAAAGCTCTACATTTCTGTTATGATTGAAGAAAATACCTCACTTTTCACACTGGCACTTCTAAAGCGTGTCACAGAATCTGTAAGCAATATCAACCGACAGAGAATAAATGTAAATGTTGACAGCTGCATTGAATACGTTCCAGGCTTTCAAATGCCAAATTGCCTGTTGGGAAAATCCCCCTGATATCATGCTCCATGATATGGATGCATCGCTGATTAAACTTCAGCAGCCTCATTTGATGGAAAATTGAGTTTCCAGGACCATATTTTGGAGATAGAAGAGTTATCAATAACCCTTGTGAGCGAAAAGACAAACCACTCTGATTAAGATGTTGCTGTGTAACAACAAATGTCTCCTCCCTTGCATAACAATGTACAAATAAAAGGGGACAAGCTGCTCTTTTTAATGCTGTCCAGGCAGCTTTCTGCTCCTCTCTCACTGTGAAGCCAAATAAATAGCAACGGAATGTGCCCCAGTGGACCCCGTTATCACTGTGAACCAATTCAACACATGAATGTGCAGTCCCACATATGGTAATCATATTCACCAGCTTTGTTTCGCTTCCCTCCATCTGGTTCCCTTTTGATACCAAACTTCTCTTTGCATTCTGATCCTTTACTCTTTTCTTTGGGCGGTCTCCCACCTTGAAAAGTATTGTAATTTTTGAAAAAAAAATATTTCCAACCTCTTTTCCACTTTTTCCAATCACACCCTCACACTTCTTTCCCTCAATCTCTTTCTGATGTGCCTGACTTCAACACATGTATAATGCATGGTTATGGGAGAACTGTGGGAAACCTTCCTGAGCCAGAAGCATCCAAAGTAAACAAGACGTTGGGAACAAACATAGTCTCCAGTTTGAGAACATTCTATCCAACGACTGCTTAAATTCAACATTACATGACTGCAGAATCAATCGTGCCACCATGAACAAAAACTATGGCTATTGCTTTCATTGCCGTGACAATTATAGACCAATTCCTTAAATTCAGTCAAATATAATATTCTATAAAGATGTTTAGAAACTCCATTGTCTGCCGTGTTAAGTGAACTCACATTGACAGGCTCACAGGAGGAGACTGTCTCCACAGCAGCAGGAGGATAAGGCCATCAAATGAGCACACATGGTAGACTTAGCCCTCTAATGAGTACTGTTATCCTTGGGTATGTGTGGAATGTGGGTCAGGCCAATTAAATGTTTATACGGTGCAAAATTAAATTTTCAGAGCTAATGGTCAGTGAATTTCTCTCATGTTCCCACACAAACTACCTCCAACTAATGCAAAATTGCATTGGTATTAAGAATCACCCTTATTCAATTAGCATAAAAGGTTATTTGCATTTAACAGCTGTGTCCCAATACAATAATAAAGGATTCTGAGCCTCCCTCCTTTTATAAAGTCAGAGTACGGGAAAGCACGCCCCTCTGTCAGTTATTAAAAATACATTATTAAGTAGATTTGAATTTGTAAACCTACCTTATCATTGACCAGCAGCTCAATGGGGTTGTTTCCCCATTCGATGAGGACTATCTCATTGGCCTGGCCTGGCACACCATATGAGAATGGAGTGCCTATACCAGGAGTAGCACTGGACTTGAGCCACATGCACACGGTGAAGGCGTACATCTCTGGGAGACTCTTCTTGATGCGTCCATACAGATAGTTGGTGCGAAGTGGGAGGGACACCTTGAAGTCCTCAGGTGACTTGAAGGCATTGTTGTCTATTAATGGAAAGATAGCATGTACAATTATCATTAGTATTAGTCTTGTACCAGATGATAATGCTTAGGCTCGAGATGCAAAAGAATGTGGAAAATGGCAAACTCAGATGAAGATGCGCAACTGTGGATATTTTACTTTTGAAAAAAAGTATGCAAAAGACGATGAAGTTGGTTGTCAGCTAACTGGTTTCATGGATTGTTTGACAGGTTCAAGACAAGCAGATTGAAGAATTGAAATAGAAATAACAGTCCACATGTATTTCCTCACAAAACAAGACAACAGCAGTGTTCAGACTGCCCGCTTGCCCATACACTTATTAAACCATGACACCGTGTATGCTAGAGGATCCCTGAGAGAAGCCAGCTGTCAACACACCTCAGACTCTTGATGGATGCAATGCTCCAACACACAATGATTTCTGGATATTCGTCATTTTGTGAAAAAGCACATCCGCACCACCATTTTGTCCATGGGAAAAGCAATCCTGTTATTTTAGGGTTTAAAATCACAACTCTCTCCAACATCCACCACCCCCATGTTCCAGAAACGTACAATATTAAAATGAAAACTTTACTAGTTGGAAGAGCCTAACTTAACTAACAAGTCGCTTTGAATTTCTTACTTTTTACAGGAATTTGGTCTAAAACAAACAAGGTATTTTCTGTGTTCAAGGTAGGCTGGCGTCCCAGAGTTTGAATATCTTGAAAAGAGTGACAGCTTCAACAAATTCCATGACACCAACCCAAAACCAAGCATTAGTGAGTTATTTTGTGTATCTAAGTGAGCTTAGGTCAGGTTAAAAAAAGTCAGGTTATTTCACTCTGAAACACATATCTATGCTTAGATAAACTATAGTGCAAAAGCACCGAAACTGAAAAGTATCATCTTCTGGTGACCACAGTTCTTACATATTTCTATGATTGCTGAGGAAGTCAAATCTGGACAAAAACAGTGGGAAGGACAGCTCACACTGCCAGCAAATGTAAAAATACACAACCTACTGTGAATACTATTGTCAGCATCCCATGTGGTTTCTTTTTTCAGCTTTCAGTGTGGCTACATGGGCTCTAAGTTATGTGGCTGGCTGTTGGTTTATTAAAAATTACCACATGACTGTTGAACTATGAAATGAAAAAGGAGGAGGGAATGCTTGGATTCTAGATTATGTGCGGCTGAAAAAGATGAGAAACCTAAATGTTGCTCTTAAGCGAAACTTACAATGTAACTGGCGGATATCAGCAATGAAAACCACATTTATGAGCAACTTTGTTGATGAGCTGTACAGAAACGTTCATGATAAAGAAGGTTATGTTCATGATAGTCCTTTGAAAAATACCTCCAACATACAAATAAAAATATGTGCGGGCAGAATCACTCTACCTCATTAAATCACTCTCTCCCTTTAAGCTCAAAATCAGACTCAGTATGTATTCTATGCCTGCATATGTTCCTGTAGGTCCAGAGGTACAGACCAGTGGAATTAAAAAGTCATTGCAGCACCATCAGCCGTCTACAAAGCCTCACATTTCCATTTCACAAAACAATGCAGAAAACTCCAGCCTCTCAGCTCATTACAGGAATGAATAAACACCTATCTGTCACAGCTTTGACATAAATTGAACTAAAGTGGACTCTCAGACATTTGTCATGCGATGATATTGCACAAGTGGTTGGCAGTCTGTCAATTTTCCATGTATGCAAGCAATTAACATCCTCTCCCAAACTAATCTTGATATCAGCCCCTCACTGAATCCTGTATGCCTTTGGGGACAAGAGCATACAGGAAACACCAGTAAGTGGTGAAGCTGACTTTTTTTTTAACCCATCAGATAGAGATATGTGCTATTTTGACATCCACCATCAAAGAGAACCCTCAGAGTGTGGACTTGTTTAGAATATTTCTTAAATTAATCAAGAATTCCGCTTTGCTTTCGAGTTTCTACATTTAAGACCAGGCTTTTCTGTAAACTGACTACGTGGAAAAAACTAGGGATATTTACTTCTATCGTACTTTGCACAAGGATTGACTAATTCATCTGGCAGACAAAAATGAACGAAAAAAAAAAAAAAGAAAAGCAAAGTTGGCATTAAATACAGCCAATATTTCACAGCACCCAATGTATCACTTACTTTTCTCGAGCTCTGTGATCCTCTCCAGGAGGGAATTGAGAGCGCTCTCGGTGCGTTGGCGGTGGGCCGCCGTTTCGTTGTAGAGCTGGCTCTTCTCCTCCTCCAGCTCGGCCACCTTCCGGAGGAGCTGGGTCTCCAGCGCCCCCAGGCGCTGCCGCAGCAGCTCGCGGAGCTCTGGTGGCAGCGGAGTCAGGGCCGAGACTCCCCCAGCCGAAGAGTTTGTGACGGGTAGACGCAGACTCTGCTGCTGGGAGGCAGAGGACGGAATAAATAGAGTGTTATTTGCATTCATTTTTTGTTTTAGACTGAACAATATCTAACGGATGTCCATGTGCTCCCGTAGCAGCCTTGGGTTGGTGACCTGCCAAATGCCCATGACTGTGCTGGGTATTAAAAGCAGACGTCACCCAGAGTAAAACACCCGCCAAGATCACAAGTGGATTTTAGAAAATGGGGAAAAGACTGCAAAAGCCAATAATTGTGGCACAGAGGTATCGCAAACTGCCCCCAATTATTTATTTCTAATCTTGTCCTATTGGCAGGTTGTTGGGATATGTCCAGGTTTAATTAATCTTTTAAGACAAAATCTGAATATGTAACCATGAAGTTCTCTGTTCTGACACCATCTGACACTATAATCCAGGGAGACCAATCTGTTTATTATGCAGATAGCTTTGAGTGGTCGAAAACATATTCTCCTTGTAGCCATAGACCATCAGCACCATTCTGGCCACAATCATTAGGTTAAGCTAATGTGGATCAATAGATATATGATTAAAAATGCTATATAGTATCCTTGCTTTGCAGTGTATCCTTGATTTTATCATGGTAATAAAGTCTCTAATAAAGGAAAGAGGGTGATGGAGAGAGAAATGTGATGGATGGATCATCTACTATGGAACATATTGTATGTTAGATATCCTTGAATTCGCTAACAGTAACGTGATTGCTTAGATTTTCAGGGCCGCCATGCGGCGAGAAATATTCTGCACTTTAAAACTGATATATGAGATAAAGCCAGGGCTTATATCAGCCTTCTGCTGCAGGAACATCACACCATTGGTCATTTGTGTACCAGCTGAGTGTGGTCTCTGAGCCTGTGGAAATAGGGCTGAGAGCAGGGGGGCTTTTTCCGTGAAATTATAAAGGTCTCAGGTGTAAAAGGATATGAACAACTAAAGCATTTAATATTTGTTTTAATTTAAAATTCCCGTGCTCTTATGCTCAAGGAATCTAAGGGAATTAATTTAATCATCCACTACAAACAATTAGTCACATATTGCAAATAAAAGAGGATGTGGAACACATACACACACTAGTCATGAATTATTCAATGAGCATTGCAAATCCCCGTTGCACATGCATGATTACACCTTTGACAAGATTGTTTTTTGCTTCTCATTTCTTGGCCATAAGTGTTACAGAGCATCATATTTTATTGATTGAAAATGAAATGACGTGACATGCCTGTAACCTGACCCTTTGATCTCTCGATTCCCCGGGGATCTCAGGCTCCCACACCAGCCCTTTTCTACATGTGAAGTGCAATTATTGTAAGTCAGAATACTGCTGAACAACTACTGCTGCAGGTTTTGTCAGTGAGCTGAAAAAAATATGCAATTTACATAAAGAATAAAAAAGAAAGATTTCTGCTACAGGCTGCATTTACGAATGAGCTGCATGCGTGTATTCTTACCTCCAAATTCTCCAACCGACCTTTTAGACTCTGCATGGTCTTGCCCAGCTGGTCTATAGTCTCGCCCGGGTCCCGGGGTAAGTCTCCCATGGTGTTCTTCCCGTGGTCCTTTCGCCTGGAGCCCTGACCCCGGGACCTGCCCTGCGCCATCTCGTCGGCCGCCGCCTCGCAGCGAGCCAGCTTGGAGTTGAGCTCCTTAATGGTTCCCTGCTGGCTCACGATGGTCTCCTTCTGCTGCAGGATGGTTTCCCGGAGCTGGAGGATGGTGTTGCGCAGCTCGTCCTCCACGGGGCTGCTGCTCTGGACGCGGTTCCCCGGCGGAGCGTAGCCGCAGCCGGGCTCCGCGCCGGGTGGGATGGCGTTACAGACGAAGCGGCTACCTGTGGCGTCCTGACCGCGCACCGTGCGTCCGCAGAGCAGGCACAGAAGTCCCACAACTGACACCAGCATGCCGACAATACACTGGATGAATCCTTCCATAAAAAGGACAGCAAACCTTAAAAAAAACGATCAAAAGTCGCCCTTTAAGATTATAAACTTATACCAAGCACAACTAATGAATCCCACTGGTTGGGAGCATTTCCACACTTCCAAAGTCTTACTCTTATTCTAACTTATTCTATAGAGTGACCATTATACAACCAACATCCCAATCCGCCGTGTAGAACTGCACTCCACCAAACACATGTTCGGTCTTCTGGTAAGAAAAAAAAAATTTGGAACTGCAATTCTTTCAGCAGGTGAAACTGGATCAAATGGGAAGAGGCAAGTCCTGTATTGCAGAAAAAGTTGAAGTCTTTTGGTTTGTTGTATTCGGAGAGAAAATCCACTGAGTGATAGAGAGAAGTCAGTGTTCCTGGCTCTGCTCTCCGGCTGGTTGGAGTGTGAGTGGAGTGTGAGTGAGCGGTGCTGAGGAGACACAGACGCTGCTCAGCCGGATTATTGCGCACTGGCGCTTCCGCTCATCCGGCGCGCGCTCCGATTATTCTGCCCCGGCCCACGTCATCACCCGGTCCCGGTGGGCTGAAGTCATGCTCTGACATGTTGCGCGTACGTCTCATTGACCGTGTGGCCTGTTTCAAATGTGCTGAAGCCGAAAGATGTCAAAGGACGGAGAGAATTAAGTGGTGTTTTTTTTAACGCAGTGAAAGTTGGAAGGTTTGAATGAACACGCCTTCCCACATATTCACATGCAGCCAAAAATGTTATTTCAAGCATTGTGGCGTGTTTGTGGGTTTTTTTTAACTTTATTTTTGTTACGTCATTTATAAGAATAGCACAAAAAAGAGTCATTATCCATGCCACAATATTTTGCAAAACTGATTATTTCCACTGTCTCTACTCATCTATTTGTGTCCTCATCCCTTCCTCCCACTTCCCTTTTACCCACGAATTTTCTACAGCGAGATGTTTTAAAGGATGTCTCAAATCCTCAATGTACCTAGAAAAAAAAGAAAATGGAGGTGAGAAGAAGAATTTCTAAACTATAGTTAGATATGGGTTGTCTATGGGAAAATATAACCCATGACTGGAGGAGGCATACACTGTTTATCACCAGATCTGATAATTATATGATAGAAGTGGTTTAATGTAGGTTGCTGCTAAATTAGATTCAGATGAATGCCTTGTGTTGCTGTCGCTTTGCCTCTGGAAGAAGGCTGTCATATTTCCCTTCCCTCATATCTGTTCGTACTTCCCTGGTGGGATAGACCTAGAAATAAATAGAAGAGTTGAGATCAGGAATCCAATGTGTGCAAAGTGGAAAATGAGATAAAGGGTAAGCAGACTTTTGGCTTTCTATGAGCCGTTTTCTTTACCGACCATTACTTCAGGACATTAAATTCAGCTTCAAAGGAAAGTAAAAAAAAGAAAGAAAGAAGGTTTTTTTTCTTTAAACCTGAAAGGGGGTCCAGAAGAAAAAGTACTCTGCTTCGACTGGTTAAATGTGGCCATAACTTTACTGCATATAGGTCTTATTTATTACTTGTTTGTTCTTTTTTAAGCAAGACATTAAAAAAAAACTCATGAAATTTCTTCGTCGGCAGACAAATGTAAGACACACCTATGTGGATGTCTTCCTCTCAGTTTTCTGTTATCGTAGCTGATTCAGAGGCAACAGAAAAATGTCATTGCACTGCATCAAGACTATTATTCTCAAGGTTATTCGACAAGTAAAGATCTAATCAGGTCTCCTCTATAGCAGGCAAATTGGGCGCCTGGTTCTGTGTTGAAATATGTTACAGTTTACACTGCAGCTCTTTATGAAACCTCCATACTTCACCAGAGCTATAGAGTAGCTGTTCATTTAAAAGCAGGCATGTTTAAAACCGTGTTGACATTTCAGTATGAGAACTGATAAGGTCTCTCTCTGTCGTGTTAACAAAAGTGAGGTTTTCACATACAGTGATGTCACCAAAGTAGTGATAAACAGTATAGCTAATCTGATTTGACAACAGTCCTACTGGAGTTTTTAGATCATGAACATTTGCTCCCAGGGACTAAAAACTGTTGTTATGGCTAAATGTTATGGCTTTTTAACTGGACCTGCTATACGATGCAGAGCTGTTTTATCTACATTTTCATTTTGTTTTGCAGCTCAAGGCCGCTATAGTATAATAAAGTCCCGCATTTCTCCATCTTACAAAGCAAAAATGTCTGCCTTTCTCTACTGTTTTGAGTTGATGGACTCAGCACAGCATAGTCAGTCTTTGGACTCCTTCAGCTCTTTTTATAACTTATTACTTTCTGTTTTTTTAAACAAACGTTGTTACCCATTGTTCACGCTATCGGGCAGAGAGGGCTCGTTAGACCGCCGATTTAAGGAGACAGCGATGTGGCCACTGTTTGTATCAAAACCAACACCTGGCAAACAATAAGAGAAAAAGTGGGAATCTCATCAATTTTTACATGAGCAACAAATGAAATGATGGCATGTTCAGACCATGCCAGCTCTCACATTAGTATCCTGCTTTCTTTCAAACTTTCCAAACTGTGATTTCAAAGCCTCCTCAGGATGGGATCTCCTCTCAAATTAACCATACGAGAAATCTTTCATCAGCCAAAAACTCAGCCGTACTCACAACAAGGTCTGAAGTTATCCTTTCAGTAGATTTCAAAATCTGCAGGCAAACGCTTGTCAGTGACATATGAGGCCATTAGCCCCCTTCACGGTGACAGATGCTGAAGAACATCACAGCAGCCCTTGTCTGGCACTCCCTTCATGTTTAGTCAACCTAAAACAAGGGAGCAGGTGCCTTTCAGACATATTGGAGAAATAGTACAATATGAAAAACTTCAAAGTCAGCTCAGAGTGTGAATGGAGCGCCGCGCAGCTGTTCCCAAATTCTGAGACATATTTTTCCCAAACCGTCTCGTCGGCCTTTATTTCCTCAAGATGCCTCCCTTAATATGTGAGGCAGTGGGAAAATGACAGCTCGCGATGGGCACTCTATCCTGTCACCTCCTATCTGCTCACCGGGCCTAACAGTTCAAAGTTGATGCACACCCAGTGGACAAAAGACACACACTGGACTGAGTCCGACAGGGAGCGACTGGAGCTGTCGCTGCTGAGGAGAGCAGCTTCTAATATGACGGATCCCCTGAGGAACCTGAGCAACCATGGCAACTTTATCTCCCTTCTCACCCACTTCTGCTTGGCCCTAAATCCCAAAGCCCCCCACCTTGGTGCGGAAGCAGCTGGCAGAGGTGAAGAGGGAGATGTGCCGAAGACTGAGCAGAGATGACAACCATCACTTCAAAGTTGATGGGATAAAGTTGTTTCCTTTCATGTTGAAACTGATGAGCACTGGGGAGATGGAATTTCACTTTTTAAATGCGTCGGGGAGGGTTAAGAAGTCAGCAGGGGTTTAACTCTTATCTAAGTTGAGTTTCAAAACTGGGTTGATTTGGTTACTGCTTGACACGAGGCAATCAGGACTTTTGTTCTAATTCCGCCGGGCACCCGAAACCACAAAAAACGGAGTTGAATGTGATGATGAAATGAAAAGGCAGAAACATTTTTGTGGGCCTAAAAGAATGTATATTCTGCAAACTGAAATTGAATGGATTTACAATCCATTTCATCCATTTTCCAACCCTTCTTCATTCAGGTCAGGGCTGTGAAGGGCCAGAAGCCTTTAGATCAGGCGAGCAGCAGGGTACAAACCAACAAAAAAACAAGCTGTCCTTCACCCCTATTGTTCAGGGATACGCATCATAGGAATGAACCAACACAAAACGGTTTTCTGTCTTGAGGTCCTTTTCTGTTTTCTGGACTTGATTTTTCTCCCCCTAGTCTGTTTAGATGGATGCATAACTGCTGATTGGTTGGACCATTTATTAGCAGATATCCCATGCAAATAATAAACATTTAACAATTTTTTGTAAGTACATCCCTCCAAAGATTTGAAGGTTATAGCTGACAGGCATCGTCTGGCCCTTATCAACTCCCGTTACCAGCTGCTTCTGAAACCTGTACTTTTGGACATATGAGATACCTTAAGAAAATGATTCACTCCCCTGGCTCATGCTGCTTAATCATTCTCACTCACTATGTGAAACCTGACTACTTTGAGTACCACCTGTTGAACGTGATGTGAGCCCAGCAAATGCTGAACTCTCCGAGCCACACAGAGCCTGCCTCACACAATCCAGTGACTGTTTGATCAACCCAGTCACATTGTCCAAAACAATGAACACCACTTCCTGTGTACTTGCCATGCCTCCAAGTCACTTTCCCTAATTCTGTGCCAGCTGCTGCTGGCTACCTGCATGCAGCGTGATTGTGGCCAACTGTCCTGTGAATCAGTGTCCATCACAGCTGCCCAAACAGCTCCCACACAAGCATGGAAAACAGAAACACACACACACGTACACCCACTACACTCATATTCACACACGAGAGGGAAGGCATGGCACACGTGAAAGATATATCCAGAAACCGCATGAAACGTGTCAGATTTCATAAAACAGGCTATCACAATCAGTTCAATGTTCAAAACAAGGTAATTTAGAGAACAAAAGTACTGTCTAAAGACTTAAAAATGTGAAAAAAATCACATTATGAAGACAACTGATGTTTATGGACTCAGATGACATCCCCCAGTTACACATATCTGTCTGTCACAGCCATTGAAACATGGATGTCTGTTGAAACTACGCCTTTCAGTTGATTTAGGGGGCTCTTTTCTCAGCACCAGTGTTTATGTAGCATTTCATAAGCAAGCCCATCTGCCAACGTTAATGTCGCCTGAGGATGACTTTGTGGGGGAATAATCATGTTTGTGACGCGCACCCTGCTGCCGCAGTTATTCAGCGACAGGATTCATTTCTCACATCAACTGTCGGCCTCCGATGCCACTTCAAGACACAAGAATACAGTGGGCTTAGGTCTTGGCTTTGCTCAGCTTGTCTTGGCAACATGCTGCTGACTGCTTCACACTGCAAAGCTGCTTGTGTGTGATGTTTTGGCATCGAACGCCCAATCCTGTCATGCTTTTCCAATTTGTTTGAATCTAAACCCATTGTGAACCGAGGAAGAACGGAAGTGTTGTTGGCTCAAGCGTTTTTCATTTGTTCGGAGATTGGAGACTGGATTGCAACCGCGCATTTTGGGTTAATTTATTTGTCATGTAAGGACCGGTACATGCATTTGATTTAACAATATCTCACATTGCTTTCCAGAATTACTTTAGATCACAATCCCCTCTTGATATAAGGGTATTTGCTAAGGATTGGTCACACTGATGATCTGAGTTTGCATTACAGTTGGACCTGATTTCATGCTTCTTCATAAAGTGCTCCTTTGAGGCAAGTTTTCAACCGTTCCTTTTTCTCCTCTTAGGCAGCTGAGCAAGAAGCTTACAAAGTCTGCTGGTTGTGCGGGTATCGAAGGGAGGCTTGGTAACACTGACATGAGCCAAACTCATGAGCAGCCTTTTAAAAT